TTAATTTTAAAATTAAATTTTTCTTGAAATTTTTATTCATACTTTTACAATTATAATGAAAATTTAAAAAGAAAAAAATTAATTTTCAAGGTGTTATATATTTTACATGAACTAATTCGAATAAAAAATTCTTTTCGACAAAGCAATAATAATAATAATTTATAAAGAAGTATAATTTTATGCTCAGAATATTGCATTTTTTAGGTTCAGATCGACACTCTGGACCTGACATCCTAAGAATCTGCTGCAATATAAATCAATTGAATAAACCTGATACTTCATAACCTGAACCTGATATGTACTTGACTGAAAAAGAAACATATTTGGTTATTTTATCTATGATTTCACATCACATTAGTTTCATATCTTAATGAACATCGCACTGCAAATTTATCTAATGCAGAAAAAGAGTTTACAGTGATAATTATTTGGTTTAAGTGTTTTATCAATTTGAGCCACTTGATGCAAATACTTACTTGTTTATATTTCTGATAGTGAAGTAAAATGACACATTAAGGTGATCTTTTATCTCCCAACATAAATATAAGCAAACTATATTTATCATCATTATTTCGCCTGCTTAAGATACATTCATCTTAAATATAAGTTTTAACATATTCCTATCCAAAAGAAATTCTTATTTAAATTCCAAAGAACGCGAATAAAGGCTAGTTCAAATTTCTTGAGCAGATTCTTTTTGGACACACAATACCCAATGCCTACATAGCACTAGATTTCAATTATACTTCAAGTTTGCCTAAACCTATGTGGGGAAAAATCTCCCAACCTCTTATATCCGTAAAATACCATGGCTTGGCGATGATTAACGCTCTTGAATCCCAGTGGATGAGCTTATGGCAAGGTTCGGCAAAGTAGATTAGCGACGATGAAATTTGTCCAGACCTGCTACTGACTTACGGGGTATATACCTTTATATCCATTGGCCATAAAGATATAAGATGAGACGATCAAGGAAAGGGGTGTGGGTGAAACAAAAGAAAGAAAAAAAAATCATTTATGGGCGGGACTCTATTTTTGTCCCTTGAGTATTTGGGGGTGGTGGAAAACTAAATTTTCTTTTCCCAGCAGATGACTTTGTGGCTGCTTTTAAAGAATTCCAGACGCGGGGAGATTTCCAATGCCACGTGCCTGGTTTACCAAACATCTGGGTCACGTGGTACTATTATCTTTTGGATACTTTTTTGCGAAAAGGGCGGGAAAAGAACAAACTCTCATTTTTTTCTAAAAACTTTTTTTTTACGCTCAGCAATTAAAAATCGAAGTCGGATCTACTCACTTGTCAAAGGGAAAGAATTAAATTCTTGAAATAAATGAGGAAGTTTCTAGTAGTTTGGAAGCATATTTTAAATCAATTAATTATAGAATAAATTTACATAAATAATAATTTATTAATTGAAAAACTCTAAGTCATACCCTTATGTATGTATTTGAGAGACGGAGAAATATTTTTATAACACTATTAAATGGAAAAAGAATAATAGAAAAGAAAAAATTAATTTTCAATAATAAATTAGTGGTCAGCTAAATAATTTAAAAACTTAAAATGTCCTGAGTAGTTACGAAATAGAGTGAGAAATTCATAGCTAAATATATTAATAATTTATTTATATTTCTTTTAAATTATATAAGTTATACCATAAATTTATTATAAACCGAAATTGATTTCGTAAAACATTTGAAGATAAATTATCATTTAAGAATTATTTTGAAAGACATTATTTAAATTTATTAAATAATTTAAACAGTAAATGCTTAAAATTAAACTGTTCCCACACTTTGACAATAGTAAAAGCTGTGCACAGCATTTTTCAACTTTTTAATTCTGGTTAGAAACATTTCGCACATTGGTAAAAAAGTTGGCTGTGAATAATATTCAAAATTATATACATGACGGACGGAAAGCATCCTCAGTGGTAGACGGATCATGGGTTAGAGTTCCCTTGTCGTTCCCTCCCATGATTAGCCTGACGGCTAATCATGGGAGGTTTTTGCGCTTATCATCTTCATATAACGCAAATGCGGGTAATTTCCATCAAAAAAAGTGCTCTATGGAGGCAAATTTCCACCAATACTTGATACAGAAGTTCCTTTGTCATCTAGATTTGGTTCAAAATTAAAAGGCTACGGAGTTAAGTTGAACATTAGTTGTCGTAAATCCAAATTTGGGTCAGCTGATCAGCAATGGTTATAAAAATTGTGTCAAAATAAAATTGTTGTAAGGCTTTTGTAAAAACCATCATTAAATTAGAAGTGACTATTTCAACTATTTGAGAATCTATTTGATTGATCTAAGTGACTATTTGAGAATCAGAAAAAAAAAAAGAAAAAAAAAACTGTGGCACACATTTAAAGAATCACACAGTAATAATTATCAATTAAAATTAGAAAAACAAGANGAGTAGTTACGAAATAGAGTGAGAAATTCATAGCTAAATATATTAATAATTTATTTATATTTCTTTTAAATTATATAAGTTATACCATAAATTTATTATAAACCGAAATTGATTTCGTAAAACATTTGAAGATAAATTATCATTTAAGAATTATTTTGAAAGACATTATTTAAATTTATTAAATAATTTAAACAGTAAATGCTTAAAATTAAACTGTTCCCACACTTTGACAATAGTAAAAGCAGTGCATAACATTTTTGAACTTTTTAATTCTGGTTAGAAACATTTCGCACATTGGTAAAAAAAGATGGCTGTGAATAATATTCAAAATTATATACATGACGGACGTAAAGCATCCTCAGTGGTAGTCGGATCATGGGTTAGAGTTCCCTTGTCGTTCCCTCCCATGATTAGCCTGACGGTTAATCATGGGAGGTTTTGGTGCTTATCATCTCCATATAACGCAAATGCGGGTAATTTCCATCAAAAAAAGTGCTCTATGGAGGCAAATTTCTACCAATACTTGATACAGAAGTTCCTTTGTCATCTAGATTGGGTTCAAAATTAAAAGGCTACGGAGTTGAACATTAGTAGTCGTAAATCCAAATTTGAGTCAGCTGGTCAGCAACGGTTATAAAAATTGCGTCAAAATAAAATTTTTGCAAGGCTTTTGTAAAAACCATCATTAAATTAGAAGTGACTATTTCAACTAAACTATTTGAGAATCAGGAAAAAAACGAAAAAAAAACTGTGGCAAACATTTAAAGAATCACACAGTAATAATTATGAATTAAAATTAGAAAAACAAGACCCCACATCCCCAAAAAAAAGAAAAAAATTTATTTATGGCAACAAATTATGAAATCAGATAAGTCCTAAGGAATCAGATTTTCAATTTTATTATTCTTATAACTATTATTGCCGAATTGAATTAGGGACACTTAAATACTAGTTGCCTTACTTTGCCAGACTCTTTTTTACATTGCTCTGAACATTGTATACCGTAAAAAAAATAAATAAATAAATAAAAAAAATGAATACTAGAATTTTACGAACTTTCTACTGAACTTTCTACTGAAAAAAACTTCTAAGAAAATAAGCAATAAGCATACCAATTTGTAATTTGAATTTTATAATCTGAAAATATAGAGTTCGAAAATTCAATTTTTGTAAAAAATATTAGCACAGCATTATTTTAAAGTTTAATAGGATGGATTAAAAATGACGCAAAATCCAAATAGAACATTAAATGTTATGTGTGCTTAATGTTTATAAATTCAGACATTCGAAAAATTAATTTAAATCTTTAAATTCATATTTAAAAAAGAAAACTTGTGTTTTGTTTTGTGAATATAATAATCAAGCTTCTAATATTTGAAACCATTTGAAACTTATTTATGCAAAAATGCAACTATATATAAAATAAATATTTAAAATTCATTGCTTGAATTGGAATTTCTCTAATCGGAATATTTTTTTTATTTAAATAATGCAAAAAAAAAAAGAAAATTAGTAGCAAAATTCATACGATTAAAAATCAATCATTTGTTCATATGTTCTGGTTCTATTTCGACCCATAAAATCTAAATATTTCTATTTTGTCTAACTTGATTTAAATCACTCTGTGACTATGCTGACTAATGCGATTGAGGAAGAAAATGACATTATGTTAAGCTAAATTCATTTTCTCACATGTTTGAGCTAACAGAAATTTATAAATGTTTCACAGTAATTATTCAGTATTCTCCCTAAGCATTTTTAGAAAGGCGACTCGCCCTGCTCGCCCTTTAATCCATATATAAAAGCCCTCTTTTTAAAAATAAGCCGCCATCTTTTAAAACCACAGCCTTTTTATTCATATTCCATTTTGAAAAAAATTATTTCACTATTTAAATAATAATTTTTCGTTGATAAAATTATGTGTTTATAGGTATAATTTTGATTACTATTACAAATATTTACTTTGTTAGGATAATTCTCAACTCATTAAATTTTTATAACTATCTCTTTCTTCAAGGGGAAGGGAATAATATATTTTGTAAGGATTTTAAAATTTATTTTTTAAATAAATACCCTTCTTCTAAAAAAGAAAAAAAAATAATCCACCTTTGAATTTTTTTTTCTTATAATTCTCAGTTCAAATTATAAAAAAAGCTTTCAAGTTCTTTTTTCAAGTAATCATTTTTTTCAGTTCAGCTTTTTGATAAAAGTTTATGCACAGAGATTGCCTTTTAACATGGCTTTAATTATTTTTATAAGCTACAAATTATTTTTCGTATTTTGATAATGAGAGAGAATTATTTTTCCAAATACACACGATTTTCAAATAGTATATGAGGGTAATTTAAAAATTGTTGAGGATCAAATTCAGTTATTACGTAATATAATACATTTTCATACATTTTTACAGCCTTAAGTATGTGCCCTTTCCTGAGAGACAGCACACTGCCCTTTTTTTGTTCCTAGGGAGAACTCTGAATTAATTAAATATAGATTACTTTTTAAAATGAGTAGAAAGAGATAAAACAATAAAATGAATTAAAAAATTGATAAAAGGCTTAGAGATGAAAGATTTTGACTTACTTTCTCTTGTTGCTGTAACTGCTTCATCATGATGGTTTTCTTTTTATCTTTGCACCGCTTGTTCTGAAACCACACCCTGATCACACGCGGACTTAGTCCTGTCATTTCCACCAACTGTTCCTTCATGAGGGCGTCTGGTCGGGGGTTGGCAGCATAGCAAGTGCGCAACGTATGCAGCTGCTTTTCATTGAGGACGGTCCGAACCCGTGTTGGCTTGTGGTCCGAGCTCTGCTTGTGCACCTGCGGCCGCACTGAGTCCCGATTCCTATTAGACTGCATCGATTCTGCATTCGCTGTGGGACAAGAACACAAAGAGTAAGAGAACATCGAACAATCCCGGTACTGGAAACAAAGAACAAAGGCCAGCAAAAACAAACACTCATAAGTACAACACCAAAAGCAGACGATAACTAAAGCAAACATGGAAGATCTTCAAAAGTTCCTTATTACCTGCGTGGCCTGCTGAGAGCTCTGTTTGGAATATATTTTCTCATGAGGGAAAAGGTTTAAAGGAAAAAAAACTGAAAGTGTATTCTTCAGATCGAAAATACATCAGTAAAGTGGACCACATCGTTGAGGAATGGCAAACCGGTTCGATTTGCTTGAGTAGTCAATTTAATCTGTATGTAAACACTAGGAAGGCATCAATCGAACGTTTTTCTGTTTGTTGAAAAAAAAAAGAACTGAGTCAAATCTCGTTAAAAGAAAAGTTCGGCTGACCCAAATCGATGTAAAGAACGAAAATGGTAATTGCACTGCAAACGAAAAATGAGATTCACGTTTAAAAAAAGTTTTATGATCAAGTTGAATGTTCTGCACGCTAATTTAAAATTGCCTCAAATGAAAAAAAAATACTTTTTTAACATGTTCAAATCTTTAAAGTCAGATATTTTAAATTATTTGATTTGCTATGTAGATAACCTCCATGAACACAAACTTACACATAATGAAAATGTACCCAAACGAAATGATAAAAAATTATATGGTTATTCATATCACTATTGTGAATAGGTTTGTTAAAATTACTTACTCAAATCGATGTAAAGAACGAAAATGGCAATTTCATTGCAAACGACAAAGGAGATTCACGTTTAAAAAATATTTAGTGATTAAGTTGAATATTCTGTACGCTATTTTAAAATTACCTCAACATTTTTCAGTTGCTGATCAATACAATCAATATTGTATACTCTTTATTATTGAATATATGATACCAAATCTTTGAAGGTAGATATCTAAGAATTTAATTTTCATACTACAAATTCATATATAACGATAATTTACGCAAATGATATTATAAAAATATATACCTTTGTTCAAGCAACTATCGTGAATAATTTTGTTAAAATTACTTACTTAAATTACTTACTTACTAAACTTAAATCGATGTTAAGTACGAAAATGGTAATTGTACTGCCAACTAAAAATGAAATTCACGTTAAAAAACTTTTAAAAAGAAGCAGACTTTAAATTTCTTCTGATACGATCAAAACTGCATTGGAAAAACTCTTGATAAAATTACTGTAAAAAGTATTGGCATCTTGAGGGCCAGTAATTTTTATGGTAAAATCCATTTTTACCGTAAAATTTTAAGGAAAAAAATCTGATATACTGTAATTTTTACAGTAATATTTATGGTAAAATTACTGAATCACTGTATTATAAATAATTAAAGTATTGTTGTGCAAATTACGGTATAAAATTTTACGGTAAAAATGGATTTCGAAGCAAAATGGGTTTCACGGATGCTACAATCAGAGTTCCAGTATATAAGGTACTACAAATTATACCGTAATTTTTTACAGTGTGTTTGCTATAATCTTAAATTAAAATAATTATTTGAAACCAAATGTGTAAAGAAAGATGCTTAAATTATTCGAATTTTTCAAGAAGTTAATATTTATGAATTCAAATTTATTTTTACTGAAAAGTACATAGTAAAATTTTGTACCATTGTTATAAAAGTACTAATGAAAACATTATTTTTAAAATTACTATTTCATAAAACAAAATTTTTTTTGAAAAGTACTACATTATAAAATAAAACAAGTAAACTACTGATCTTTTGACCACAAAACTAAATATATTTCTTATAATATAGTACAAAGATAGATATTATCATTAAGGGGAGAAAGGGGGAGGAATTGTCTATTGATAAGGGGCATGGGAGAGTTTCGCTTTAATGTGGCCATTTTTTCTGATTGTCATACATTTTAAATGCTTTATGATAAATACCTAAAACTACATTCAGTTGTTGAAGAGATTGCATTCTGAATTAGAAACTTTATTCAGAAAAAAACCTTTCTAGCTAAATTAGGCTAGAGAAAAGTGTATTTTTTGTCCATTGGTAATGATTTTAACATTTGGGAAACACAGGATTATTTTTAAACACTTAACTTCTATAATTGTGCACTGATATTGCCCACACTGTAAAAATTTCTTGTTCTAATTACGTACGAAGTTTTGATCTTAAATTCCATTTTTAACGTAAAACTTCACGGGATAAAAAATCTTCTGTACCACAAATTGCGGTATGAAATTTTCTGGTAAAAATAGATTTTCTGATAAAATGGATTTTATGTATGCTACACTCAGTGTACCATTCCTTTTTACCTTTATATGATTCGGAATTTTTTCCAGTGTAGGCATTCAAAAGACATCCTATAAGCATTTTATACAATGACTAGGCAAAGAATATGATAATTCTCATAATCCCTCCAATGTATAAGAGGAATTTATCATTCTATAGAATGCCTAGGCATTACATTTATTTAGGCAAAGGGTATGATAATTCGAATATTTCAAAGTTTGCCTAAATCGGCAAGTTTTCCATGGAAAGCAGGGATTTTATACAATTAAAGTAACTTATTATGTTAAAAAAATTGATACTCTGTATTAGGAGTTTTAATAAAAAATGAAACACAATAAATCAAATGAACAAATTTGTAATAATCACAATTTTTGAATTAAATTAATATGTTGTTCTACTTGATTAAAACCTTCATTCGCTTTAAAAATATACAAATTGGAAATAACAGTCAACCTGATTCGAGCTCTCAAAATAGGCGCGCATCTTCAAGATTTGCCGGACATAAATGAGGAAGAAAAAAAATAGCATTTCAAATATCATCTTTTACAATTTTTTTATCATTTTTACCACCATCATTTTTTTCTTTCTCGGCTACTGTAGCATTTCCAGTTTTGTTTCTCGCCATTTTTTTACATTTTTCGTTGGCAACTTTACGTTTTATATTTCAAATACTTTTTGTTTCTCCTAATTCAAGTCTGGCAAGTCTTGAAAATGGGTGCCTATTTTTAAGCGTTTGAACTTTGAACCCTTACGTTGACTGTTATTTCCAATTTGAATATTTTTTGAAGCGAATGAAGTTTTTAATCGAATTATATCTTACAGCTTAAGTTTTTTAGATTATTTATTTAATATGCTCTTTTGTTTTCAATCAACATTCGAATTCATTCTGAGAAAATCTACACTAATCTCGAAATTTTTCAATTATGAATCAAAAATGTTAACATTACAGTAAATGCTAAAATTAGTGAAATAAATAAATTTTTTGCAAAAAAATATTAAGATTATTTTGAAATATTTACATGCCTTCACAATATTTAAATTATATAAAGTTAAATTATTTTGTATGAAGTCAAATTTTCAGATAAATATTGAAATGTTAGCTACTTTCAAGTAATATGAGTAAAATTGGTGTTCAAAGATTATTCATACATCAGCAAGATATTTAAATATTGTTAAAATTTTAATTTATGAAAACATTTAAAAAAAATTTTAATCTGGCATTTTTTATTGTAATAGATTACTATTATGGATTACATTATTGTATAATCAATAAGTGAAAGATAATTCATTTTTAAATCATATACAAATAATAAATGCTAAACAAAGAAATTATAGTTCATTTCCATAAGTCAATTTAAACTAATATTAAAATAGTATATATAAATTTTAATTGATATAACAAAAATCTATCATATATTTAATAAATTTAGAGAATGATCATAATATTTCAATTTATAAATTACTGCAAAAAGGGACTGCTTTATGTGGAAACTAATTTTAAAATTCAGTGTTATATCAGTATAATCATTATTACATATATACAAAATAATTATTACATATAATATAGTAAAATTTACCACGTTTCTGGCCCTATGGGAACCCCGAAAATCTCGTTAATTTTTATCAAAGCGCTCTATTTTAAAAATTTATAAGAATTTTAATTACAAGAAATGTTAAAGGCAACTAAAGGAAAGGATGCTTTTATTCAGAATTAACCAAAAAGTTTTAATATTGGTACATCATATTTTCAGTTATATTAACCAGAAACACCATTTTTTAAAAATTTTATATTTCTTTTAAAATTTAACAACTCTATTCAATTTTATCTAGATATTCACTTTATATATAGTTAAAAATTTATATCCGATTTTTTTCGGTATACTTTTGTGTGGTCCGACAATATTAAAGACTTCAAAACTGCACATGCATTTTTTAAAACGTTTATAACTACACATAAATGTACAAACATATAAATTTAGTTTCATTAATTATTCAATAGCATTTCAGAAGTCCTTTAGTGAAACTATGCAACTTTTCTAAATGAACAAAATATAAAGTACTTAAAATCAAATTCTATTTTAAACCAATACATTTTCATTGCGTTTTTCTTTCCTTCTTTCCTTTTTTTAAATTTTTGTTAGTTATATTTAGCTTAATGTCAAAAGTTTTGTAACTATTGAGAGGTGCTGAAACCGAGAAAAAAATAAGAAAATTTTTAATCACCTGAAAGTTTTTTCTTTTTGTTACAGACTGTTTTGATCCTTGCGCAATCTATCCATAAAATAAAAAAATAATAGTTTTAGAAAATTAATTTGAAAAATGTAAGAGATACAGAGCAGAAAAATCACCAGAATACATAAAAGTTTTGTATTTATTTCTTTATGTGAGTGCTTATATTAGGGTCCAATATCAGAAAAGAACTTAATTTTTATATCCTTTAATTTAGCCGATGCTTTTTTTTCAACAATTAAGGAATTAAGAAAATGTTTTATTAAATTTATTATATTGCAAAATTCACATTTAAAAAGAAATATTTTATGAAGTGGATGATATGTTTTTATTTGCTAACAAACATTCATGAATAAAACATTATATATATTAGTGAAATAACATAGCAAATTTTTTCCCATAAAATTAATTTTTAGAAAGATATGATTCTTACACTTATGCAACAGTTAAAAATAATTCAACAGAAAACCATCACAAAATTATTATTAATTATATTATCTAGTAAAATTCAAAGTAAAGACTTTCAATTATTACCAAAAATTTCAGTTATTAATTCTTATTTCTGTGACTTTAAAAATTAACAGTAGCTGTAAGAAATATTATTATTTAAAATAAAGGAATAAACTATCTTTAAATACAATTACATTATTTTAAAGCACAGAATAATCAAAAGTTTTCGTAATAAATTATTGTAACTAAAAAAATAATTTGATTACCTTCATCAGTAAATATTTGAAACATATCCAATGATTTCTTCTTTAAAAAAATGGTTTCAAACTCTAATCTTTTTTGCATTGAAAACTAAAATGTTACTGTTGTTTCGTAATATTAATTACAAGTTTTTCGGTGAGTATCAAAAATGATTAATGTTAAAAAAGCGTTGCTTTAGGTAGGAATGTGCTTAAATATTCAGTTATTATAAATTTAACAATAAATTGCACAAATTAAAACACATTCTTAAAATGAAATGTGACAAAATGCCATTATTTTTTTATATCTAAGTTGGTTTTTTTTTCAGTCCCGTAAAATTGCCAACGAAATGTCTTGAAAAAGTTAGACATCCGAAATTTTCATTTTAAAATTCAGAAAACTTTTCCTTATACTTTTTGCAAGCATTTTTTTCCCTTTAAGCAATATGAAGACGAAAGTACTTCTCTTAAGCGTGCATATCACATTCTTCATAAAGCTTTTAGATCATACTACATATTTCAAATGCAATTTTGAATATCTTTACCATTAACGCTTTTATTTTTTTTTTATTCGTTCTAATTTTTTTATTTCTATTATTTTTTTAATGGTTATACAGTAGTGCTTAGAACAAGGGGAAAAAAACTTGGCTTCATATACAAATCCTTTTTGGTGAAAAAAAAATTTAACCGTTCACTTGTGCGATTGATTCCTAAACACCTGAGATCTCTTTCAAAGTAAAGCAGGCTACCCCACTTAAGATCTTTTTTTTAAAAAAGAAATAAAAGCATCATTTTTAACATTGTAGAATCTTTAAGTGCAAAGCGCTCTCTATATATACCTAAAGAATCTATATCTCGAGCAAGTTCGATGGTCATTATTTTCCTTTCAGGAAATGATGAGATGAAGAAGGGATACTTGAGTTCTCTGAATGATAAATTTAGAAAGAGAGCAGTTAAGAGAAGAAGAAGATAAAAGAGGATGAAAATCATCCTGTCAAGCATTCTTACATCAAATGCATTTCAACGAGGCAACCTTTTCGATTTCCCTTTTATCCTGCTTATTTAAATCGTTCGTTTCCACTGATATCTTTTCATAGGTATTTTATTATGTTTATTTGCTTTTTTAAATATAGATTTGAAATTTTCTTTTTAAATCTAAAACAATGTTATTCTATTCATTGTTTATGTATCTCCTTTTCTCTCTTTATGTATATATATATNTGTAAATGACTATATATATATATATATCGTTGCCTGTAAGAAAGATTTTCTAAGTTTTTGTAATTATAATAGAAGAGCGGGGGCTAGTGTGTAAGTTCACCAAAAAAAGAAAAAAAAATTAATACAATTTTTTACTCATAATGTATTTTTTTAACTATAATTTAAATGATTACCTGAATTCTATTTTATAACTGGAATTGCAAAGTTGTTTAGTTTCTCATAAAAATATTTTTTTAAAAAGTTTTTTTTTGTCCGCTCACGCCACACTAAACGCACAAGCCATGTAACAAGCCATGAAGTGAACAAGCCAGTGTGAAAAAGTTTGATGACTTATTGAATAGTCATTTATTACAACGCAGAAAAATATATCTAGCTATATATCAACATATATCAAGCTAACGATGTATGAAGCTAAAATGAAATGAATTTCAATCTAAGCCTTATTGGAGAAGAAATATTGACATATTTTAATTATAATACTAATTTGTAATAGACCGTTTCACTACACTAAAAAGAAAACTAACGCAAATCAGTACATTTGGAAATCGTTATTTAATTTGATTTATTGGAAAGCATTGAACTAATTTTAAGTAGAATCAATTTTAATAACCTTAGTTTTAATTTGATGATAAAAAGTTCCCAACGGGCAATGCATGGAGTGCATGGCTTAGCGTTGTTTCTCTCTCTAGATCTCTTCGCTGATGTTTCAATTATAGAGCGAAAATTCTTCTTTAATTTATCTATATTAAATTATATTCTTTCAACAAAGTTTATAAAATAAAGTTAATAAAAAACATTTAAAAGCGTAAAATATTACAACAAAAATACTATAGCAGCAAATGTTATAAATAATTTAAAAGTGAGATCATTGTTAAATATTTTTAGAAAGCTAATCACTAAAATCTCTAATATGATTAGAGCAATGCATTGTTTTTTTTTTTATAAATAAAAAAAAATTTGATTGGAAAGTGTATTTGAATTGATGAAGCGAAAAAAGGACAGAGAGCTAAACAGACAGAAAGACAATAGACTAAAAGAGAAGGCGATACCGTTCTCTGATATTTAGATTTAGTTTAATGTATAGCAAAAATTCTTCTTTAATTTATCTACATTGAATTATATTCTTTCAACAAAGCGGATAAAACAAGGTTATACTGATTTTTGACGCTTTGTATTTAATGAAATTAATCATAATAAAGTAATTAAAATATTCTGAAAGTTTAAAATATTAAAAAATTACAACAAATGTCATAAATAATTTAGGAATGAGGTAATGATTAGATATTTTTTAGTAAGCTAATCACTAAAATCTCTAACAAGATTGGAGCAATGAATTGAATTTTTTTTTACACATTTTAAAAAAAAAAAATGTGATAGGAAAGTGTACTTCAGTTGCTGAAGTAAATAATAACTAGTAGGTAATACTAATCGGTCACATTGAGAAATAAAAAAAAAGGTGTACCTGATATCAAAGAATAAGTTTTTATGCCTCTTGTCGCTTAAGCGTTTTCTTTTTTTCCCCTTTTTCATTTATTTATTTATTTTTTAAGAATCTCTTTTAAAAGACCGCCTGTTCGCGTCAGATGTAATTCATTGGACTTGAGTGAACAAACGAGACTTGCATAACTAATTAAAAGTTGAAGGTCGTTTAAAAGTTTAACGGTGTCTGGTTCATTTTTTTCTATCTTAGATTTTTTTTATTTCTATTTTAATCGTAAATGCCAAAAACTAGTTTATTTTAGTTTATGTCTATAAAAAGTACAAACATTGAAACATCAAATTAAAAAAGGGCACGTCTTATGAGAAAGTCATTTTAGTATATTTATTGTTTAAAGAATGGAAGAACTGAAGAGTTATTAATCAACGACAACTTATTTATCATTTTGATGTAAGCATTAGATGCAATGTATAATAATGAGGATATAAGGATTAAACAAAAACAGGGCAGTGCGATAAAAATACAGGATAAACACATTATTGTTGGCGTCAAATTAATGTAAATGACTGTAAATAATTATTTAATGTTTATGATATTACTTTTGATAAGCTTAAGACAGCCCAATCTGGAATTTTGTTCATTAATTTTATGAACTGAAAAAATTCCTTTTGATAAGTATTTCATAGTTCTTAAATCTAATTGAAAAATTTTGTAACGTGAAGCCATTTGAAACGTATTTTATTTATCTAAAAAAGCATCATGAAAAATGTTGCATTCTAATTAGGAATTTACATTGTTTGGAGGTAGGGAATGACGAAAACATGAAAAAATATGTTCAACAAAGTATGAAAAATATGTTCAATAAAATGTTTGCATCAAAGGGTTAAGAAATTACGTTTTAATAATACGTTCAAGTATAATCATTAAAAATATATTTGAATAATCATTAAAAGTCCATTTGAATAATCATTGAAAATTTATTGCTATTGTTTTAATCAAACATAAAGTGACATATCTCACTGATTTAAAAAGTTTCCATATGTCTTCTTAGACGAGTCAGTACACTATTTATGAGTAAATAGGATATTCGTAAATATATTATTTATTCATATTAATTTGTCAAGTAATCAATAACTTTTCATCTTTAATAATATAATTTTACGTTTAAGTCAAAGGAATTATGATTAAAAAATTCCAATTAGGAAATAGATTTTTATATTTCTTGTGTAAAAAACTCATTTTCTATATTGTATTGTTTGTGTGTTCATCATCATTCGATATTTTATGTTATTTATATTACAATGAGGAAAGAAATGGAATTATCATCAATTAAGGAATTTTAAAATTCAGAGTAAGAATTTTTTGATTCGCTTAAAAACTTCCCGGGATATAGTGAAATATTCAAAAAGGTGAAATTAACATCATGGTTTTTCCGCTCTCTTGTTCAAACTATTGCGGCCACATTACTTAGATTGCTGCCAACATTCTTGCCTCCCATACTTCAATGGTGAAAAATCCAAATTAGACTTAGGCACAAAAAACGACTTCCTTATTCAGAGAAAAATCATTTTAGAGTTTAATTTTGTAACTGAAAATATCGTCTGTGCTGATTAATTTGCATATTTGAGACCCTCTCTTGAATCTTTAAGATCGGTATTTAATTCCTGAAAATTCGCTTATTGGAATTACATTAG